AGTTTATTTTGTTTTATTCGTTCCGAAATTATTTAAAAAAAGAACGCCAAGTTTCTTACAAGAAGCATTACAATATTCCATTAGACCCTTTACATTTAAAAGATTTCCATACTATATACTTTCTTGGTAATGGAGTCTCCAGTCGTAAACGATAGCAAGGAATGTATGAATATCGCATAATACGTCCAAATAAAATACGCAAAACACGTTATAACTTGCGAGTGACTAACAAGACATTATCTTAGGAAAATTAACGACCCTTTATGGTGGACATTACCATTACAAATTATATGCATTATACAACGCACGCGCAGTTTATATGCCTACAATAAATTTTCTTGCATCTTCCCATTTAGACGGCGATGGAATAATACAAAAAATGAAGTTGTAATAAAAATGTCATTAGACAATGAAAATCTACGTAATTTTTGACATAAGTTGGTTTTATATTTTTCTTGCTTCTTTAAAGTATTATTTATTCTATAGCTCAATGATAATCGCCTAAATGTAAGCTTCTAATGAAAAGCCCTACATAAGTTTCTGTGAAATAAACCTAAATAATTCTAAGAAAACATATGCAGCGTCAGATAAACTTGTTTAGATAATAAATTATACTCATATCTAAGAAGATACCCATCTGAATCTTAATAAATGTTATAATTATTGAATTTAGTAAAATTACCAAAATATTCGAGGTTATCTTTAAGGTAACTTGTTATGGTACGCAAAAACTGACGCAGAATTAAGGTGAGTACTGACCGAAGTTACACTTTACAATATTGTGTTCCCACCTTTATAACCTAATTAAACTATAAATTACTCAAATAATTACCATTCAATTTAATTATTCTATATCGAACTTTATTCTAATTATACATTTTTCTAATTTGCAGGTTAGAATAAAATCGTTATAAATTATTCTAACCTACAAATCAATTCATAATTAAGGCCATTAAAATCATATAAAAACCCTCGCAAATAATAATAATTATAATAAAATACTAAAGTATTATCATTTTCACTCCATTAGGCAGTGTTATAGTTGAAAAATTGTAGAAAAATTTAAAATAAGTTATGATAATTTTATAATATGTATCTCCTAATGGTCATTAACTTTGGTTTATGCGTGCGTGGAATTTGTTCAGTGTCGCTACAATCTACAAGATAAGAGTCATTTAGATAAAAGCGACCCCTTACGGCTTCTGTTCAATCTATTAAATTGTTATCGAATATACATTTTTTTATCTATACTTCTATACTAATATAATAAAGCGTAGACACACGCTACTCCGTGGTATAGGATGTCAGCATACACAGCATATTTTTGAATAATTCCATCTTTAAAAAGCCCTACACTTAAGACACGCTATCTATTTTCACGCTATTAAACTTAGGGGATAAATAAAACGGAAAAAAACCTTCATGTAGGAAAAGGACCATAAACTACATGATGCCAACATTAAGGTTATGGTACCGGTAATTTTGACATTTGCAATTGAGAATTTGACAAATGTCAACAATGAAATAAAGTTTTTATAATTTGTTGCGGATGAAGCCGCACGGGAACAACTAGTTAATTTATAAATATCTTGCAAAGTTAACTGTGTTGGGTAATTGGGTAGTTTTTTATACTGATTTAACATAAGTTGGTGATTTTTGTAATCTTTTGTAAAAATGTAATGCTACTTTAGGTGTAAATAGTAAATTAGACCGAATTAACGAAGCCACATACGTGCTTGGATGACTTAGTCATAGGTTCAAATGATTACGGTTTATGTAAATACAAATCTTTATATATAAGTGAATACATTAGAGGGACTGTTTACAAAGTCCTGTCAAAGATAAGGATAATATGGGAATGATGGTAAAGCATAGCTGAATTATCGATGCATTAAGTGTTACTCATTGTTTTGCTTCGCGTTTTCACTGTCTACATATACAAATATACCTTTCAACATGATTAACAAACGCAAAGGATATGTTTACAGTAGGCAAAATAATTTAAAAAATATATCGGTGTCAATTATGGAAATTCAAAACAGCGCCATCTTTTGGTCACTTTCGGATATTTTTTTAATTGAATTACTAAAAAAATGAAAATTAAATGCTGTTCAGTAGGGCAGGGCAGTATTATGACTACTATCGGTAATCATTAGAAGGTATTTAGTGAAGGTGTGTCAAGTGCAGTAAATCTTATCTTTGGACATTCTTTGCCTTTGTACGTAACTTTGCCAGTTGCCTGTGGCCGTTGCAATAAGCGGAAGCGATTTATTAGAACTTAGAAGTAAATAAGCATTGTTGACAAGTTTGAATCAAACATTTTTTAATCAAAAAAGTAATAATTTTAGAAATTTAAAACAACATTTTTATATACTGCAGAAGTAGTGATCATTAACCTTTTAGTAATATTTATATTACAGTTTGACTTTTAGAATTTTTAAACCTAACAATAAGCATTTAAAATATAATATTTTACCTTTGTTGGTTAAAAGTAACGTCTTATTTAATTTTTTTACTTAACAAAGTACCCACAAACACTTCAATATGATTTCATAGAAAGAATTTAACAAAGCAACACAATTAGCAATATAAAGTGGGTTAACGAGTACCCTAATTACTGTCTATCGACGGAAGCGGCCAGTAAACATGATAACCTCTACTTTTACTAACGGTTATAATACTATCAAAACAGTCCACTTGACTTTACGATCATAATCTACAAAATTTCATACAAATTCCCTAGAATCTATTACGATACACAAACTTTTCTTTTTTTTATAACATAAGGCGGCAAACGAGCAAGCGGCCACCTGAATCCGCCAAAATGGCGAAGCGACCGCTGCACATAGACATCCGCAATTGCAGATGCGTTGCCTACCCTTATCCAACAGAGGACTAGACGCACATGAAGAGAATATCTCCCCTTCCTATGTATCTCCTCCGTCAAATCCACTTCCCCTTCCCATCCTATCCTTATAAGAAAAGAGTGGTAAAGAGAAAGGGACTTAAATTAGGCCTCCGCCACCACACTTATCACACGAAACACGGAATTGCTTCCATTTCACGCCTGTCTTCTGTGTGGTCGTGGTATTACACCGGGCGTGCCGGCCTATTCGTGGTAAGATGTTAAAGCGAGCACTACCACTGGTAGACCTTTAGTATAGTACTAATTTACAGCCGAACCCTATAATCGAATCCCAAGATTGTCAATAATAGTATATAAGTATAATCTGATTAGTGAAAAGGTATTTAAACCAACCTTAGAAAGTAGAACTTGATCGAGATTGATTTAATTTGGCTGTAATTTCTCTAATAAGAATTAGTATGAATAAAAAAACATAAAATGATTAATTTTAAATAATCAAATTGACTTTAGTCAAACAATCTAGAACATTCCAGACTTGACTACGTATAAGTTTTATTAATTCCTGGATATTCATAGATTTCTAAGATGTTAAGATAAGGCACGTGTCGGAATAGGGCTTTATATTCCACATCTACGCGTCATGTCAACAAACAACGTTGTTGCGTAGCGCATAACTGTTCCAAGAGTTTACGCCGGCGTTTGAATATAAACAAGAGAGATTCAGATCTAGATAAGTATCGAGATACTGTTACGTGACGGTAACATTTCTCATAAAAAATATAGAATTTAAATAAATTTAACTAACATAATTAAAACTACAGGTTAATAATAGAGTACTATTGTATTTGCTACATATTTTCTTAATTTTTTATTTCATTATCAATGAGTTTATTAAATTTTGAGATCAACGACATCTATCGCGCGGGGCGGAAATAAAATTACCAGTGAAATTGCCAGATTTACAGTTCACATTTCGTTGTCAATAGGTATAACAGAAAAATATTTTTCTATGATAGATAACAATAGAGTGACGTCTATAGGCCGAGAACATCCGCAAAATGGCAGATCGTCCACTGTATAATTACCATCGTATCATTACATCATTAAATCTGTGATTGCTGTGTTATTTAATAATTTTCATGTAACGGTGCGGGTTTTTATGCATACAAATTGTCGTGAACAATAAATAAGCTAAATCATCATTAATAACGTTTTAATCATTTCATGATATAGAATTTCATAGTGAGTATGGACCGAATTTATTCTTCTCCCTTTTATATATATTTAAAATAAGGTCTAGCAGTATTTTTTGTCTTTATTCTAAACTAGCTGTTATACGCGACTCCGTCCACGTGAAATAAAAAAACAAAAGTAGCCTATGTGTTCTTCCAGAGTATCTTTTAGGTCTATGCCAAATTTCATCGAGATCCGTTCAGCAGTTAGGCTACAAACTAATAACCATCTAACCATCTAAACTTTTGCATTTATAATATTACTAGCTGTTCCCGTGCGACTTCATTCGCATGAAATTATGAAAATTGTTTTATTGATTACATTTGTCAAATTCAATTGCAAATGTCAAAATGACATGACATGATGACAAAGTATAGCAATTTTGCTTCCTTGATGTTGGCAGCAACTTATGGTCTCTTTCCCACATTAGGGTTTTTACCAAAAATATTTACCCCCTAAGTTTAATGGCGTGAAAATATATAGCCTAAAGCGTGACGTAAGTGTAGGGCTTTTTATTAAAAAAAGAACTATTCAAAAATGTTCAGTGATTGCTGACATCTTAGGCAACAAAGAAGTGTGTGTTTACGCTTTATTATAATAGTATAGAAGTATAACAATAAAAACTTAAAAACCGTATTAAAAAAATCACTATCTCAACTTTTAATTATAAAAATATTACAACCCGTATGTGCACCCTGTATATGACGGTATGAGCGAACTCACTTAGATATTGTAAAAAATTAAAAATGTTACCTTACCTTCTGTTACTTTTTATAGCGTAGTACCCAAAGTGTCTAGACAAACCCGCAATTGAGTTTACGGACACTTTCATATTATTATGTATTAAAATAAATAAATAAATAAATAAAATAAAATAAAATATAGATTAAGCTTAACTAACCTGAGTAAGCATGTGAGTTGTACATCGTTCTGGTGTCGTGCAAGCGCGTGAGCACCTTCGACCCTCACGGCGTTGATCTTGTCCCTGAGAGCGCTGCTGCAGGCGCAGCGCTCCCGCACTATTGACATTATATTCGGCTGACGGAGGAATGCCACCACCTAAATAGAATATTAATAATCATTCGTTATACTATGAAAACTAAAATATTTGGTTAATTGTTGGTTGAAACCGTAACATTTAGGTATTGTCCCACCACTGGTGATAGATGCTCAAATAGCTTGACGTCACTGTCAGATAAGGTAACAAAATCCGATATTTCCATCACACATTTTACACGTTGGATTGTTAGACATTTTACAAATTGGTGGGACAGGCCCTTATACTGATAAATGTAGCAGAATTTAAATTTTTCTTCAGTTTATTTGATATAGTGTGTAGTTTTTTTACAAATGTATGTATTTTATAATCTAGTTAACCCTTAATTCGATTATGTCTAGTGTGACGTATAACTAATAAAAAAAACTCTTCTTAGTTCAGTAGTTTAGAGAAAAATACGTGATATAGGTTACTGATCTCAGAGGAATTTTTTTAATTAGTTCTTCGTCACATTAAAGTTTTTGATGTTGGTTACATATTTTTTTTTCTACAAAACACTCATTCGAATTAAGGGTTGATTCAAATATTTAGTACAGTTTGAATTAATTAATGTTACCTTATCATTGTACGCGACTGGTATTTCTTGGTGTGAATTATGCGCATACGCATCTGATGAGCTGACAGGAGGCCGCGGAGGTGGCGTTGGAGCCTGATGATAAAATAAGAAGAATGTTAAAAAACGTTTTTAATATAACGAATAAAAAGCTAAAGAAAGAACCATATAAGAAAAAAAATAAAAAACAACAAAAACCAAGATAATGACAAAAGACTTTAACAAAATTTTGTTCCATCTGTTACTAGCAGTCATGCGAAAACAAACACAAACAAAAAACATAAAACCATGCTAACAAAATAAAATCAGCTAGCGACATAAAACATACAAAAACATGCTAAATACTAAAAACATTTTATAAAAACTTACATCACTAATTCTTATTTACAAACTTGATAGCAAAAAAAATAAAATAAAAACAAATTTCCCTTTATATCAAATAAAAAATACACGCAAATTATTTACGTAAATTAATCAATGCTTATAAGGAGAAAACAAGAATTAATTTAAGAAATAAATTTACCAAGGTAAGCCGACAGATGGCGTTACTTGATATGGACACTATAAAACTTTACTGCCGTATCTATATCAAAAAGTTTCAAGTTCATTGTCACAAATGTTTTGATAATAATTAAGATAGAAAAATTATTTACAACCAAGCACAAATAACTAAAACAACAAATACAAAATAGTTAAATATGATACAGGCAACATACAAATGAAAAAGTAATTGTTTCTTTAAACCACTCATTGAACAAAAATGCTTTTAAATATACTATGCTAATTCGATTTGTAGAAAAACGTTAGATGTTGAAAATCGATATAAATGGTACTAATTGTAAAAGTTATCACTTTACTAATAGATGGCGCTACTTGTCCTATGAGTTTTAGTTTACTAGCGCCATCTATGTAAATTTATATAAAAGCATATTTGATATAGGAGTGGTGTGAGTCTGTTTGTGTCGTGCCTGGTCGTGCAGGCGGCGGCGCTGCGGCAGCGGGGAGTAGGGCGCGGCGAGGCGCGCGGCGGGCCGGGCGGCGCGCGGCAGCCGCGGGTCCATGAACGTCGTCCGCCGCAGCACGTGGTCCACGAAGAAACGCTACACGTTACACATAACACGCCTTTTTACACAATACTTCACGGATACCCAACTGCGTAATAACGTAGTTAAGACATTAAAGGTAACATTTATAATTGAACACCCGAAGTACACTTTATAATGTAGGGACGGATATTTTTTGCCAGGAAATGTCCTTTCTGGGACGTTTTATATCCAGCTTATCACATGGTCATACAATAATGGAATAAAGTGTGTAATAGCGTTACCTTTCCGTTGCGGTCGAGCTTGGTATCCCAGCCGAGAGGAAGGTCGCGGTCTTGCTCGCTGAACATGTTGACAAGCGCCACCAGATCGCGGTTGTGCTGGTACCGCTCGAAGGAGGAGGTGTCGCGCCGGATCTTTGATATCATGTGCTTTAGTGTAGAGTTGCCGTTGTACAACGCTGACGCTTCCTGGAAACACGTCAGTAATGGTGACAATAACTAAACATAAAAAAAAGAAAACGGGAAAACAAAA